AACTACGATTTTAACGTTGCTTTAGAATGTTGATTTTCAGCCTGTGATCTCATGAAAAACATCTTGTTGTTTTTAATTTAGCTTAACTTTTTAAATATAACTAAGCATAATTGTTATTATACTTTGAGTTACTGATTTAATTATAATGGAGCATGTGGAATTTTTAAAAACATATGCATCTTATACTCCTATGGAAAATGAATACAACCAGTCTTGATAATGCAATCTAGTAAATGTCTTTACTTGATAGACTTTCATTAAAAGTATGAATACAATACTATAAATGTTTTTGACAATATTTCCTCTCAGTGTGGTAAGTTTGCATATATTTACTTTCTCTTGAAACTTTGTTTAGTTAGATTTCTGCCATGCTTATTCTGTTCCCTTATGATAACATCCAATTCATATACATCATAGAACCACATTTATAAACATATAAGGTGTGATTATAAAGTAATAAAACCTGTTTTCATGTGTGGTAAGAAAGGAAAAACAGGGTTTTAAAACTTAAATATCAACCAACTGAAGCTGAATAAACCAATTTAAGTTTATAAAGCTCTTAGCACAAAGAGATGACTGACTTTTTTTTTATTTGGGGATCTCTTAAGATGCCATCCCATCGAACATTGTTTAGCTTTGTCAAAATAGAGGATCTTCAAGGGTTCCTTAAAATAATAAAAGGATGTACTCTCATTACAAGTTATCTAATAAACACATAGAATATGATTTCCTTTCCAATTTCTACTAAAGAAATAGTTTACAAGTGCGAAAAAGAAATCCAAAGTGAGCAAGTTTTCTCTATAAAATTTTTATGGAAATCCCAATGGATCTCACAGGGAATAGGCACAAACAAGAATATATGTTAATATGTTTTCTTCTCATGTTTTGTTTTCTTAAAGGGGGAATCTTTTTTTTTTTTTTTTTTTTTTTTTTTTTTTTTTTTAAAGGGGGAATTTTTTTTTTTTTTTTTTTTTTTTTTTGAGACAGAGTCTCACTGTGTTGCCTGGGCTAGAGTGCCGTGGCGTCATCCTAGCTCACAGCAACCTCAAACTCCTGGGCTCAAGCGATCCTTCTGCCTCAGCTTCCCGAGTAGCTGGGACTACAGGCACGCGCCACCATGCCCGGCTAATTTTTTCTATGTATTTTTAGTTGTCCAATTAATGTCTTTCTATTTTTAGTAGAGATGGGGTCTCGCTCTTGCTCAGGCTGGTTTTGAACTCCTGAGCTCAAACAATCCGCCCGCCTCGGCCTCCCAGAGAGCTAGGATTACAGGCGTGAGCCACCGCGCCCGGCTTAAAGGGGGAATCTTTATGTGTCTTTTTTCCCCAAGCAGAAAACATTTTTCAATGAAATTAAACAAAATACATGGTCAATAAATGAATGTTTCAAAGATTTTCATGAAGTGAGTTGAAAAGAAATGATCCTTGGCATATATTTAAACACATCTAACAACTCTGACCACATAAAAAAAGTAAAAGAACAAATCTACAATAGGTACAAATTATATACATTTATTTTTTAATAATTTTAAATAACACTCTTGTATAAATTCTTTCATATATTCAAATCATACACAAATTTAGAAATGTATTATGAAGCCTAGTACAGCATATGTATGAGACACATTTTTAAAATTTACGTTAGAATTTTAGCGACATAAATACAAGTTTAATGTTTCAGAAACATTTCCTAATTGCTAGGGCTGATTTAATGTATTACAGAGTGCTTGTTCCTAACATTAAAACTTGACTTTAAATCATTTAGCTTTTGGACTAACTTAGATCTGAAGCCCTGGGCTCGCATTCTAAGGCTGCTGCTGCAGCTATTGCATATGCTTAAGTAACAGGAAAGATTCCCAATTGCCTTTGAAAAAGCATCATTCAACCACTGACATTTTGATGATCTGTAACATTTAGTCCATTTGATATTATTTGATTTCTTCAGATGGATCAGTGTATACTTCCTGCTTTTCCCCTTGGCATAGTCCCTGGCTCAGGGTTAGAGAGAAAAATTCATTAACCTTCCTTTACTCTCCCGTACACATCAAACTCATTTTAGCTGCAAACTCCTTACTATCGAGATCACAATAGACCAAAGGTTCTTCATGGTTGAGGCCAAAAATGCTTTCCCTGCTCTAACAGATTACACTAGGTTGGTTTTTTAACTTTTTTGAACTTTTTGCAGACAGCTTTCCTTGATATGTGGAAATTCAACTCCTACCCTCACACCCTACAGTATAAGTATGAAGGATGTTCATTATAAGTGGTGTATGTTCATCAGGTATCCTTCAAAAAACGCAGGACCAAGGTGAATGATCTAATAACTCAGTTCCAATTGAAGCTTCAAGAGGAAATACTGTTGCTTTAGCTGCTTCCAAAACAGCACGAGGACTAAATATCCTGAAGTCACTCAGCTGACCAAAATGAGAACTAGTACATCAGTGAGTATTGCTTTAACGGTCAATTTTCCTAGGAATAATGGGGCTGGAGAATAGCAACATAATTTGAGGCTTCTACAAATCCTGTCCAAAATATTCTCTCTCCTCCCATCCCATGTCTATTTTCTGTTCTTCTCTCATAAAATCTAGGTATCCCTGGGAAGAGTAATGCTTTAGGTCCATAGGACCTTGGTATAAATGAGGTTTAGTTCTTTATTATCATTTTTTCTCTATAACCAGAGAAATTCCATTAATAGGAGAGCCCCAAGGGATAGAGGGTAGAGGAAGGGAGGAGGAAGTAAGGGCGGACAAAGACATACTTAACACTACCTAGGGCAGCTAACTATAAGAAATGCATAAGGGCTTACTAAAATGAATTAATGAAGGTAAAAGTGTCACCTAATAGCAGTATCTGTCATTATTCAGTAAGATCCACATTAGTCTTATCTTCTTTAAAAATAACACATTTCTAATCTTTAGACAAAAGTTCTTCCAATATCCCTGCTGCTGGATGCCACAGTGCATGGCAGCCATGGCTTTACAGGAATGAATACTGTGCAGCGCATTCCATGCTAGTTTTCTAGTCTGATTTCAGGGGTAGATCACTTCATGATTGATTTATATTTTAAAGCAAAATTATTTCCACAAGCAAAAAGCTGGTGACACTAAAGGATATTATTTAAAACAAATTTTAAGACTTTTGTCATTAGGAAAGATTAAGAACATGTCCCAGGAACTGTTAAAAAGTATTTACAGGTAAATATTTTTTGTGATTCAATTTTTGCAATACCTTTTAAGGTCTATTTTAAGGAGTTCCTCCATGGCCAGAATCCTCACATTTGGCTTTGGCTCTTAAGCTCCAACGGACGCTCCCTTTTCTATTGGGTTAACTTCTGTTTAACAAATGTTTATTTCTCACTATCCTCAATCCTGGCCTTTTTTTTTCCTGAAGGGAGGGGCACGTGGGAGGAAGGCAGGCACGCCACTTTGCCCAGTTCCTTAGGATTGTGCATGGTCTGTATGCACATACGCAGCAACTGCTGGGGAAAGCCAGTTTTCCTTTCCTGCTCGGAGAGATTAGTTCACTTTAATGAAGCACAAACTGGCAGTTTTGTTTTCTTATCACTAATACTAGCTTCAAATAGCAATCTTCTGTGTTCTTTCCACTAAGCCCTTCATAGCTGTAGGGCCCTGGACTGCACCTGGTACTTACAAAAAATGAGGAACATCCACAATGGGACTTTTCCTCCCAGCCTTCTTGTGTCCATGGCTAGGCAATTTCTGCATTGGTATGTAGTTGAAAGAACATGTGCTTTAGAGTTAGACGTCCTGATTCCAAGCCTAATAATGACATACATTGTGTAGCCTTGAACAAGATAATTAACCCCTCTGTGCCTCAGTTTCCTCATCTATAAAAAGCGGACAACAATTACTTCTTCAGGGGTCTGTGGTGAGGAACAATGGACATACATGTGAAAAAGTGCTTTGCAAACTACAAAAGGTTACAGAAATAGTAAATAATTTTAATATAATGTAATGTAACCTCTACTCTTAAAAGCAATGGCCAAATACACAGAGCACCCTCAGGTTACCAGAAATAGATTATTTGCCTGTACATCCTTGAGAACATCATCTCCAAACCCTGAGAACAACGTAGGGGTCTCCTATAAAGGGACGACCAAATTCTAGGTTTTTCTCTAGGGAAGTTAGGCAAAGGGGTCAAATTGGATTTCCTAAGTCTAATCTAATAGGAAGTCTTCACTTTTTTCTAACCACTTCACAGTTTGCTGTTCCTCCTAATAAATATCTATATTTGACTTCTGAGCACTTTTTCTGGCTTGTTTAATCCATGATCTGTTAATATCATAATAAATGAGAGCAACAGTAGTTGGCCTCTAGGAAAAAAATTGCATCTAAAAGCAAGGACTAACTAAACACATCCAACAACAGAGCCACCCTCTAACTAGACAAGGAGATGGGAGAACCATAGCACTGCAGGGAGATGGCCCATGGCAATGAATGACAGGTTAAGTTCAAATGTAGGTTTTTTATGGGGGGATATCAATATTTCACAGGCACAGAAACTAGAGATTCCAAGTGATATGATGATGGCTTTTCTTTTGGAACTAAAATATTCCTATCCTTTGGAAGACTATCTTTTACATTCAGGGAAAAAAAATTTTAAATGAGGGTATGTTTTATATTAATGTAAATCGATAGGGAGTGGATAGTGTCTAATTAGATGAGTATTTTGGGGAATGCAGCCTGTGTCCCAGCTTAACAATTATTGACTTCAAAATCTATTGCTTGAATCTACAGTAAGTCAAAGAGCATATAACTCTACTTTTAGATCGAGAAAGGAAAGAAAGATTACAAACATTCAACCTCTTATAAATTTTAACAGTGTCCAAAGAGGGACTAAACATGACTGATGCTCACCAGAGTCCCAGCTCTAGCAATATTGCCAACTATTTTACAGTATTTTAAGCAACCCCCATATTTTCTTTTTACAATGCCATTAACTGCTGTACAAATAAATTCCAGATGATAAAATACGACATGATTTTTTTTACAAATACATACAATGTTGACCAGATATGCTACATTAACTATGTACACCTTATTTCTCCAGAGGCAGGAATATTCCTTATTTTTAGACAATTCATCATTTACACTGAGACCCTGAGGAGGACCATCAGCTTCCTGCTCCCAGTGCTGCCTTCCGCTACATTAGAAGCTTATCCTGTGCTTTACTCTCATCACTGAGCAAGAATCCTGGGAGGAAAAATCAAGCCCTTCCGAAGATTTTCTTGGGACTTTTCTACCCCTATTCTAGAAACAATCAAGACTGTTTATTGTGATACAGCCTGGACACCAGCTTTTCCTCAATGATGTCTTTTAATACAGTAAAATGAATACAATCCCTGACCCTCCTTTTAAAAAAAGGTACTTCAGGAATGGAGATGAAGTCTTCCAGCAGTCCTTTCCCCTCCATCACGTTGTTACCACTGGTTTGGTGAACACTTCCCCAGGAGTCTATTTGGAGGTCGAAGTGGATTTGGGCTGCACTACGGGGTTCAGCCTTTCCTTATTCCTATGTGGTTTGGTACAAAAATATACTTTACTTCAAGTCCTTAATGACAGTGAATGCTTCAGATCTTCATGGGAAAACTAAGAGCAACAGATAGGCTAAGCACATTACAAATTTGTACCTGAAAATTTCTGGTGCACTATTTGCCTTTGTTTTCTCAGCAAACTCTACCAGGTTTGGTCTGGCCCAGGAGCTGGTGCTGCCTTAGCAAGCACTGTGGTTCAACAATCCAGGAGAACAGTGCCAGCTCCTTAGGCTTTGTAGTTGTGTATGGGTGTTGTCAGGGTCAGTTGCCCATTGGGAGCCACTTCATTGCCATCATCTTCCAACAATCCCGACACGTCTGCATTGGGAATGCTGTCATGGTAGCTGCTGAAACTGATATTGTCTTCTTTCAGCTCGATGGTCCAAAAGGGGGCATTGAGTTTCCGGTTTTGGTACTCACGGTACATATATACAGCCCCTACAAATCCCATTAGCAGCACCACCACAATGATGATGACTGTCAAAATGATGATGTTAAACTGGGTCCATGATACATCAGCTAAAGCTGAAGTGCTGTTTTCAGAAGTGCTTAAGATAGTCTGCAGGGTTGTGGGGGTAAATGTACTATTTATAATAGGGGAGGGCACTGATGTGGTCAAAGAGGCATTGGAAACCAAAATGGTAGAACCTTCAGGTGTTGGAACAATAACTTCTGAAAATAAAAACAGAGAATGAAATGTAAAAGACAAAATTATCTAGTTTTGAGAAACAATAAAAGAAATACACATGGAAGTGGAGGCTGATGTGAGATGTTCACATGATAGCCTGCTTTAAGGTAATGCCAGTTAAAAATAATTTTAAAGGAAATACAGTGATAAGAATCAGGTTCTAGAAAGCCAGATTATTACATCTGTGGCTGTTCTCTAATATGTATAATATCTGTACTAAAACCTTTGGGAAAATTCCAATGTTGGAGTTTTCTTTCCTTCTTTACTCTCAGATAGAGTCATATAAATTCCTGCAAATGCAGTAAATGTGTCACTACTGAGTTCTAAATCATGTGGTTAAAAGTGACAGGGATAGACGGTAATCATTTGGACTAAAATAAGTCCAACATGCCTGATGGTATTTCATAAAGGTAAAATTCTCCTCAAAGGAGGTGCAGGAAAAACTGTATCTCTAGTTACATCAGAAAAGTACAATTTAAATTATCCAGGGTCGATGTCAGCCAAGAGAGAAAATAGCCTTCCTTTAATACCATGTGTAGTAATTCTTCCTTTGTGTAGATTATAGCTATTTTATAGTAAAAATGCTATAGTTTGTACTTCCAATGGCAGCATAGCTCAGCAGAATGACCAAAGGCTTTGAAATCAAATAGAACTATGTGCCTGTAGATAAGTCAATCCTTTTAAAGCTCAGGTTCCTCATGTGCAAAACGAGAATAATAATATCAGCTTTGCAAAGTTCTTGGAAAGGATTAAATGAGATAATGTACTATGTAGCATTATCACATTTAATGCTTACAGTGCTTGGCACATAGTAGGTACTCAATAAAATGGTTACTATTATTATTATCATTTATCACCACAGTCAGCCACATCAATTTATCCTAAAAAGAGGCAAAGTTTATATGTATTACCTAATACTTAATAAGAAAAATCATACTTTCAGCTTAGTATGGACAAAGTATGCCTCCCAAATGGGAAAGATCTCTAGCTAGTGATAGGGTTCAATCTGGGTCTTTTAGACTTGATCACAATAGCATAAGGGTATCAAGAAAATGGCAGAAAGATGACAGTTTCCAGAGACCAACAGTTCATCAGCCTAGCATTCAACATCCATTAGAATATCACAGAGTGGTTTGTAGAACAGTGTGGTTTCATGTCTCTGTGACCTAATATGCCGTAATATCCCTAACTCATCCTAAATTTATAATCATTAATTTTTTCCTAATCTTTACTGAACTTCCCTGTAAGAACATATTTTGCCATATGAACAACTTTTTCTTTTAAAAATCAAAAGGAATATTATTGCTATTTCTTCCGTAATATGTGGGGAAACTTAGGCCCAAAGTTAAGATAGAAGCTAGTTTCTCAGCTGGAACTTCTATTACATTATAGCTCCCTACTTGAAAAAACCTTTGATGATCACTGGAGGTGATGAGAATAAAGGAATCAAAGAATAAAAGAAATGATAAGACTCTAATTATTAACATAAAAATAAAAGTAGATGAAGAGAAAAATGCGAGAACACTTTGTCTCACTGTCGCAATGACTTTGTCTTGGTCCTCAAATTTCTGGAGTTGACTTTGCAGTGTCAGGAGAGCAGCAGGAATGGAAAGAAACCTCTTAAGGCAAATATCTATCAAAATCTATTTCCAGAAACTCCTCTGGTAGGATTGGAAGGTTTTATAAAGCTAAAGGTAGCTGTCCTGAAATTTTCATTGCTAGGCTTAGATACTAAATTTACAACCTTAGGTGAAGTTTTACCTTTCTTGATGCAATTTCCCTCGAGGTCTTGAGCATAACCTTCTAGGCAGTTTTCACACCAAAACCCAGTGGTGTTATGGAGGCAGTTGATGCATTCACCACTCTCGGGCTTGCAAATCTTTGGAGTTTTATCTGGGTCCACATGGCCATGACATTGGCACTTTCTACAGATGCTGTCAAAATTGTAATAGCCATTTTGACATGTATTGCAGTTCTGGCCTATGTAACCATCTTTACACTGGTCACATTCAGGTTCCAATTTACCCGATTCTAAAAGAGAAAATACCAAAATAGTTTAGTACAGTCTCGAGCTACAATCAAAAATACAAAACAGCTACCAGTCCTTAAAAAGATTTATAAGCCCTTCTTACTATTTCCTTTCAATCTTAAGAGACATATGGAATCAAACTAATAATATATACCTAATAATAATTTTCCAGCTTATTGTAGGAATGATGGGCTACCTGGAGAACCTATTCAGAAAGCTAAAGAAAGATGCTTACAAAAGGAGTCTGAATAATTATTATGGGCTGGCACTCTCATATTTTTTCTTCCTTTCTTCTCAGACATGACAGACTGAATAAAATATGGCTTTAACAAAAACTTCCTCCATCCCTCCCCTACTTAAATGTTGATACTCCCCAGACTGCTATTCTTGGTTTCCTTTTCTTCTCACTCTGCTCATTCCCCATGGGTGACCTCATCCACTGATATGGTCAACAATTCCAAGATATGTATCTCTAGGCCCTATCTCTGTCCTAAATTCCAAAACATATACTAACAGCCTGTACACCTGGATCCACAAACATCTGAAACTTAACATGCACGACTGTCCTTAACATCTTCTCTTTCTAAGTCCTGTCCCTCTCCAACGGTTCCTACATCTCAGTGGATGGCACCAACATCCACCCACTTGCCTTAAGCCAAAAAACTGAGAATCATCCTCGATCTTCCTTGTCCCTTTGTCCCTTGTAAGCAGTTATCAATTCTATCACTTATACCTGATTAAAGTCTTTCCAATCCACAGATGTCTCCCTCCATTCCCACTGCAATGATCTTAGTTCAAGCTGCCTCATTTCTTACCTAGATTACGTAGCTACTTCCTAATGGATCTCTTTACTACAATGCACCCCTACATTCACTCTGAACTTCAAAGTAAATCTGAACATGTTACTTCTCTAGAGAAAGCTCTTCAATCCTAATTCCTTCAGGATTAAGTGAAAACACAATAGAATTTTCATATCCTTCATAATCTGACCCCTGATGACTACTCTCAGTTTTTTTCTCTTCACTTCATACTCTACCACTCTCTAAGGTTCAGGCACATTAAATGGCTTAAGAGTACTCCCAAATACTGCCTGCTTTCTCCTCTCTGAGCTTTTCTACATACTACTTCTTTTGCATGGCGTGTCCTCTTGTCTCCCTAACCTCACTTCACCTTGCAAATTCAATCTATAGGAATTAACTCAAGTATCACCTCTTCTCAAACTCACAAATGTTCCTTGATTCCCTTGGTTTTGGATAGGGTTAGTCTATGCTTACCTGTAACATATGTCATTCTAAATTATAATTACCTGATTACTTGTCTGTCTCTCCCATTAAACTATGAGCTACTCAAAATTTTTCTCTTTATCTCCAATGTTTGGCATAGTGCCTGACATATAGTATGTGTTCGGTACATGTGTACTAATTTTTTTTTTTTTTTTTTTTTTTGACAGAGTCTCACTGTGTTGCCCGGGCTAGAGTGCCGTGGCGTCAGCCTAGCTCACAGCAACCTGAAACTCCTGGGCTCAAGCGATCCTTCTGCCTCAGCCTCCCGAGTAGCTGGGACTACAGGCATGCGCCACCATGCCCGGCTAATTTCTTCTATATTTTTTTAGTTGTCCAGATAATTTCTTTCTATTTTTAGTAGAGACGGGGTCTCGCTCTTGCTCAGGCTGGTTTCGAACTCCTGAACTCAAACAATCCGCCCGCCTCGGCCTCCCAGAGAGCTAGGATTACAGGCATGAGCCACCGCGCCCGGCCCCATGTGTACTAATTGAATAATTTTACCTTAGGCAGTGGGAACATACCGACTTGTACCTATCTGCTCCTTTTTTTTAATTCTTCATAAGATTTAATTCATGATTCTCAGTTATTTTTAATAATCAAAAAACCATAATTTTATTTATCTGCTAAATGCATTAGCTCCTTTCTTAGAATTTACTATTAATAATTACACTAATAGGATCATCCTGTTATCTGAACATAGACTAATTTTATTATAGCAGGAGTACTCTACAGTGGTCATAGAACTTGCGGCAATTAATCACATCTCTGAGGTTCTTTATGAAAAATGAATCCCTTTTGTCTATTTTACTATTGCTTTTTAAAATGGCTTTACTTGAGATATAATTCACATACCACACAATTCAACCATATAAAGTGTACAACTCAGTGGTTTTTAGTATATTCCCAGAGTTGTACAACTGATAAAGAATTTTAACTTACCACTTACAATCCCAGTTAGTGCATTCTCAAATAAGTTACTAAACTCTGGACCTCAGTTTTCCATATTTCAAATAAAGGAATTAAACCAGAAAGACTAAGCTTGTTTTAAATAATAAAAGGTGGCAGTCGAATGAATCCATAACCCATGCAAATAATTATATGCAGGAAAAAAATACTCAACAAAGAGGTATATACTCCTTGTTCTCAAGGAACTTACAGCTCACAATGGTACCATACTTTACAACATTTTTGCACTTCAATAACTATAGCAACAATAACTAATATGAAAAAATTCCTGATGAAATAAATTGAAGGACTGAAATTAAGGTTTGTGAAAGTCTTTCGTGTCTGTCTTTTTCAAACCAACTGGACCTCAAGACATAACATGCAAAGGTTCTGCCTCATGTTTCACTCCTTCTCCCTTATACTTTGTTTCTGCCATTCTTAAGTAGTTCCTTGATCAGATCAGCTGTTTTAATTTCTGTACCTTTGTTCATATTGATGTCTTTATCTGAAATGTTGTTCCTTCTCCTGTCTACCTGCTGAATGCTCTTATCACAAGACTCAGCTTTTATATCACATCCTCTCTGAAGCTATGGCTGACATTCACCCCACTCCAGAAAGAGTAACTATTTTCACATGGTGCATCTACTATACACAGACCCATGATATTGCACTGCAATTATTTGTATGGCAGTGTCTCCACCAGAAACTGTGAGCTTTGAGAGCATCAAATGCTCTAAATTGTCTGGGTACTTCCTACCCCTAGCCTGCAGTGTGAACTCAATATGTTTTGGTTTTTGTTTTATTTTTTCAGACAGAGTCTTGCTCTGTCACCCTGGGTAGAGTGTAGTGGCATCATCATAGCTCACTGCAACCTCCAACTCCTGGGCTCAAGTGATCCTCCTGCCTCAGCCTCCTAAGTAGCTGGGACTACAGGTACACGCCACTGATGCCTGGCTAATTTTTCTGTTTTTAGTAGAGACTGGGTCTTACTCTTGCTCAGGCTGGTCTTGAACTCCTGAGCTCAGACAATCCCAGAGTGCTAGGATTACAGGCATGAGCCACCGTGCCCAGCCAATGTGTGTTCGCAAATGTATTCATGAGTGCCAAATTGGACTGGCCAGATCCCTGTTCAGTCTTTGGTTTTGATTTCCCATTCACCTCTACATGGGTACATTTCTGGATAGCCAAATCATTCTTCAAGGCCCAGTTGAAATGAAATCAGTTCCATAAAGACTTTTCTATACCTCCCACTAGGAAATTATCCTCCCTCCCCTAAACTCTCATGACTCTAATTCTGTATGTCTGACTACTCTCTACCAGGAGTTATGGTTATCTTCCTTTCTATGCACTGAACATGTGTTATCAGCATGAACCATATGCTGGGAATAAGGATGAAATGGTTAAAAATATAGACATGATCTTTGCCCTTATGAAACTTACAGTCCTTGGAAAAGGCAGACAAGAACAAAGGATTTTGCTTTTGTTAGGCATCATCTTTCCACAGAGAAGCCTTCTAAATTTTAAATCTATCATACGAAAGTGAATTTATTCAGTTATTCAACAATCATTTACAAAGCAACTACCAAAAGACAGGTCCTATGTTCAAAAGGAAAGTTACTCTAGATGTGCCAAGGACTAATATAAGTTCTTATTTAGAATTCCTATAAAATTCTAAAATCTTAAGTTCTTTGACACTAACAACATATCAATATGCCTATAAAAATAAGAAATCCACTATAGAATTCTGATATTGTGGAAGCAGATTTAGATGTGAATACGTAATCTTTTTATATTCCTGACCCTGGATAATGCTTCTCCTAATTTAACTCAAAAGGTTAAACACAGAGTTACTATATGATCCAGCAATTCCACTTCTAGGTATATATCCAAGTGAAAACATAGGTACACACAAACATATGTACACAAATGGTCGCAGCAGCATTATTCATAATAGTTAAAAAGTGGAAACAACTCAAACGTCCATCAATGATGAATGGATAAATAAAATATGGTGTATTCATACAATAACATATTTGGCAATAAAAAGGAATGAAATATTGATATATGTTACAACATGGATGAACCTGAAAATATTATGTTAAATGAAAGAAGCCAGACACAAAAGGCCATATATTGTATGATTCCATCTATATGAAATGTTCAGAATAGGCAAATCCATAGAGAAGAAAAAGTAGCTATTGGTTGCCTAAGGCTGGAGGAAAAGGGAGTGACTGCTAATGGTTATGGGATTATTTTTCAGTTTCTTTGGTGGTGGGGTGATGAAAATGTTCTAAAATTGATTGCAATGATGGCTGTACAACACTGTGACTGAAAACACTGAATTTTACATTTTGTTTTTTATTTGTATATTTTTGTTGAGACAGGATCTTGCTCTGTTGCCTGGGCTAGAGTGCAGTGGCATCATCATAGCTCACTTCCACCTCCAACTCCTGGGCTCAAGTGATCCTCCTGCCTCAGCTTCCTGAGTAGCTGGGACTACAGGTGCATGCCACCACGCCTGGCTAATTTTTATAGAGATGGGGTCTCACTTTTGCTCAGGTTGGTCTTGAACTCCTGACCTCAAGTGATTTTCCTGCCTCAACCTCCCAAAGTGTTAGGATTACAGGCATGAACAACCGCGCCAAGCCTGAATTTTACATTTTAAATAAATTATCTGGCACGTGAATTATATCTCAATAAAGCTGTTATTTAAAAAGGCAAGGGGAGGGAGAAGAATCCAAACCAGAGCTACCTGGCTAAGGTGCTCCCAAATTCCTAACTATGTGAAATAATAAATGCTTATTGTTTGAAGCCACTAAACTTTAGGATAGTAGGTTATGCAGCAACAGATCACTAATATATCAGCAATAAATGAAAGTTAACCGTATTGGTAAGATTACCATATAGACATAGTTAGTCAACATTCTTAAGTACCTAGGAAGAACTATTTAATAATTAGTAAATGTTACCTTGAAATAGGTGAGCAAAAGTTGCTCAGTCTTGAAGTCCCTGTATTAACTCATTATACTGCTTTTTAGATTTTTAAGTCTTATTTCACATATGTATTTGGATTAGGGTGTAAATACCTAGAAGGGACAACTTTTGCTGTTTTTATAACTTCTTTTCACCTATAGCATCCAGAACTTTATTCATCAATGCAGTTTATACCTACTGATAACTGATATACTGATTTATTTTGTCTAAAATGAAGAATTAGAAAAAGGTCTTACTTATGCTGCAACTGCCTGTAGAAGTCACTGCTGAACAAGGGCAGCGAAGACATTCTTTAGTGGCATCAGGACTCTGATAAAATCCTTCTTTACATTTCTCACAGTGATTTCCTTTGCTATTTTCCTGGCAGTTTAAACAAGCACCTAAAAGAAGCAAATTATTTTAAAAAGTTAAAGAACATGAAAAGCACAGTAGCTTTCAAAAAAAGCACAGTAACTTTCAAAAATCATTCCTGCAACGAAAAGACCATAAGAAAAAGAAAAAGTAACAGGGATTGGATAGAGCTCTTCTCTATTCCATCTTACTTCTACATTGGCCATGTCTATGAACTATGTCCCCTACTACACTGTAAACTCCTTAGGAAAAGGCTGGGTACAGGATTAACATCACAATAAGCCTTTGTTGTTTGATTTGACTACATACCAAAAGTAGGCCAACTATGTGAAAAGAAAAAATAAAAATAATCAAAATACCTATTAAAAGAAGAAGAGATGAATTGTGGCATTTTCATAAGTGAATTAATTATGCCTGAACATGCTTAAATCTTAAAAACAACATTGGTTGAAAAAGCAAATTGCAGAATGATACATACAGAAGGAGAATACTTACTTCATAAAATTTTAAAAACCACACTAAGAAATACTAAGTAAATGGATACATACACATGTAGTAAAAATTAAAGTGTGGACTGAGAGAGTATAGGGGAATTTTATGCTCTGCTTATCTGTGGAGGGAGGGATAAAAACAAGACCTGGGAGGAAAACAAAGAGGATTCTAACTTACTTGAAACTTTCGATTTCAAATACTTAACTACATACACATACCCGTATGTGTAACTAGGAATCAAAATTCCAAAATGTTAATCTTTATTAATTCTGGGTGAGTACATAGGTATTTGTTATATTATTCTCCATAGGTTTCTATGTTTAAAAATTCTAAATAAAAATAAAAAACAATTAATAAAGAAAATGAATGTGTTCTGTAATAATATTCCTTGGTACTGTATTCATAAGGATGTTCTACGGACACTGAAGCAGCATAACATCTGAAAATAGGAAATGAGGAAGTAAAGTATAATTTACCTTCCTTCTTTATGGCCATGAAGATTCAAAGGGACACTTAGAACTACTATTACATAAGTAAGTGAGTAAACTCTACATAGAAATCTAGGAAGATGGCGGAATTTTACAAAATATGCTAAATACAATTCAGTACTAAAATTGTTCATAAATAATCTTATTTGATTTCTTTTCCTTAGTAGTAGAAGTATTTACAAAAAAGGGAGAGAAAAAGAGGCTGTGAAATAAAATGGTCTTACAACCGGAGCAAGATTTGAAAAACCAAAAGAATGAAAATGTTATTAATATACACAAATCTCAATTCTTAAGTGATTACAGTAGAATTTTCCAAAATGTCATGAACTTATTGGGAAAGACATCTTCAAAAGTTTATTATATAAGTTCTTAACTTTGAATTAAATCTAACTTGCATGTAAATATCATCACTTTACATCATATAATTTTTTAAGGCCTCATAGCATTAGTGACATTTTTCACATATATGACAAAGTAGTATATACTCATACAGTGATAGACTCTTTAGGTACTGGTTTCTTTCCGGATCTTCTTATAACCTAATCCCTCTTTAGCTATTTATCTTTGTGACAATAAAAATAGTTGAAATAGATATACTAGGAAACTGTGGATTTTAGCTCTAAAAATAAAACAATTTTATTTATTTATTTATTTTTTGAGACAGAGTCTCACTTTGTTTCCTGGGCTACAGTGCCATGGCATCGGCCTAGCTCACAGCAACTTTCACCTCCTGGGCTCAAGTGATCCTCCTATTTCAGCCTCCCGAGTAGCTGGGACTACAGACATGCGCCACCATGTCTGGCTAATTTTTTCTATACCTATTTTTAGTTGTCCAGATAATTTCTTTCGATTTTTCAGTAGAGACAGGGTCTCACGCTCAGGCTGGTCTGGAACTCCTGAGCTCAAATGATCCACCTGCCTGGGCCTCCCAGAGTGCTAGGATTACAGGTGTGAGCCACCATGCCCGGCCAATAAAACAATTTTAAACATCAAATTGTTATGCAGATTGGAAAAGTTAAAACTTGCATTACGTTAAAAATCTGTCTACCTGCTCTCCCCCTATTAAAAATGTTCAATGAAAAGAATTTAATAAAAAAAGTTCTCATAAACTACTAAACTTTAATATAAAAATACTCAAAAAAGCTAACAGTTCCATTAACAAAATTTGGATGTTTGGGGTAAGATGCATTCCAATAATAAGTCCTTTGTGTACGACTGATGTGACAAGAAAAGGTCGTGTCACTACCCTTTTAAACAATGACAGTATATACATACTTTTAATACTTTGCTCCTACAATGCTACTGGGTCTACATGCTTATTATTTGGGTTTTTTTTTTTACTATTCTAGCTAAGACTCCAAGCCTTTGTGACTATAAATTATATCACAATATAATTTCACTCCCTTGAACCACTTATTATTAGAATAGTTTGAATTTTTTCCAGAAGAGTTTTTTTATTTCTATTTGTTTTATGCCATACCCTGAAATCAGAGAAGTCAATGATTAAAAAATAATCCTGCATAGTAAAAATGTTATTTCAAAAGTAAAAATGAAAATAAGTATAAGAATAAACCTCATCGGTTCTTAAATACTCATTACTCTTTACATTGCTTCAAGACAGTATATACCTGAAGCACAGGCATAGAGAAAGAAAGTTAATAAAGATAGACCAGATATAGGCCGGGCGCGGTGGCTCACGCCTGTAATCCTAGCTCTCTGGGAGGCCGAGGCGGGCGGATTGTTTGAGCTCAGGAGTTCGAAACCAGCCTGAGCAAGAGCGAGACCCCGTCTCTACTAAAAATAGAAAGAAATTAATTGGACAACTAAAAATATATAGAAAAAATTAGCCAGGCACGGTGGCGCATGCCGGTAGTCCCAGCTACTCGGGAGGTTGAGGCAGGAGGATCGCTTGAGCGCAGGAGTTTGAGGTTGCTGTGAGCTAAGATGACGCCACGGCACTCTAGCCCAGGCAAACCAGTGAGACTCTGTCTCAAAAAAAAAAGATAGACCAGATATAAAATAACCGGAATGTTAACAATTGTTGTGAGGGACAACAGTCCTCACAACTTTTTCCCCCATCTAATTCTCAAATTGTCTCTAGTATGTATGCATCACTTGTATTTTTATTATGTTGATTTTTTTCTGATTATAAAATAACACATTGTAAAATATATCACGTGCAAATTATAAAATATATTAAGAACTCAAACAATTTTAAAACACTTCACATAGAAACTTGAAAATTTTTATAATAAAAATAAAAACTATAACCTTTAAAAATCCATATATGGTAGGAATTAATAATGTGAATTTGCTTTTCTAATAGCTTACAACTCCTCTCTGAGAGGCAACATAGTATAAGGAAAACGGTATAAGATTTAATGCCAAATCTGTGTTCCATTCCCAGCTGAACCTCTTACCTGTTATGTGACCTTAAGCAAATAGCTTCTCTGATACTCAGTTTTCTTTTTTTTTCTGAGCCTAATTAGACAAAGAAGAAATCTAACATTTATTTTTCTTCTTCTCTTTACTACCTTGCCACAACTGAACACAAAAGAAGAAAATGTACCCCAAAATGGCCAAGGGATTTCTCCTAATTCTCAGAAAGATACTAAGTGAAGTATTTTTAATTAAAGTATTGAAAATGAACACAAGAACACAAAATATAGCTAAAGAATACTAATGAGTTAAATGCTCCAAGAGAAGCAAGAGCGCATGAACAAAAGAATGAAAAGAAAGTATGTGCCCTTAAAATCCAATCTACAACCATTCTCATGAGTGCGTAGAGGTAATTGCAGTACTGACTAACCCAATGCCACCAGGGCTGGCCTGGATGCATCTGATGTGGCCAAATTGTACTGAACTGAATGTGTCCCTGGCCATCTGCCCTACGAAGAAGGCTGTGTGCCAGTCATTACTGTGCATTAGAGGGAAAGAACCTGGATGAGAATGTTCTACCCTCAGGAAAAAATGTTTTAAACACTTGGTTTTACAGCTGAGTACATTTTTGGTAAGAGCTAATTTTCACTTTTCTAATCTGTAAAATGGGATAATAATTCTTTGGCTAAGGATTTCATAAAATGTAAATATTTCAAAGGGCGAAAGACTATTCCATAGGATATGTTCCTTCTTTATGCCTTAATTTCCTCATCTGTAAATTTAAAAAGCTAAACTAGATGAAATCTAAGTTTCCTTTAAATCTAAAATCAGGGGAACTTTCTTTTATAATAAATGATACATAAAAATTAGCTTAAGTTTAACATTATTCATTATGCTCTGTCTGGAACCTCGTGAAATACAACATGCTGCCTTAAAATTCACATTCTCGGCTGGGCGCAGTGGCTCACACCTGGTAATCCCAGCACTTTGGGAGGCCGAGGCGGCAGGATCACTTGAGGCCAGGAGTTAAAGACCAGCCTGGGTAACATAGTGAGATCTCATCTCTACAAAAAAGAAAAAAAATTATTCAGGTGCCTGTAGTCCTAGCTACTTGGGAGGCTGAGGCAGGAGGATCACTAGAGCCCAGGAGTTTGAGGCTGCAGTGAGCTATGATGGTGCCACTGTACTCCAGCCTGGACGACAGAGAGAGATCTGTCTCAAAAAAACAAAAAACAAAAATCACATTCTTTTTGCTGGATGGCCAAACGTGGATCACCCCACCCCCCACCCCATCAAAAAAAAAAGTAATGAGTGTTTCCTGAAGATGATTTCTTGCTCCTCGGCTAAGCATCTCAAAAATCTAGTAAGGATAACCAAGAAAATAACTGGTCAAAGAAAGGAATATAGGGCTCCTTTCCAACCAAATTCAGGGACAAAACTTTGAGAACAGAAATTGTTACCTGTAAAAAGACTTTTCCTTATTTCGTTTTTTATTTTGCCTTTCATACTTCATATATAAATCTGTCAGAAATATAGGAATGTACTTTGTTGTAAGAAGAGATGCCTTCTCCTATTCATAGGGCAGAAGGCAAATTTTAATCTGTCAAACTGAAAGGTGGGCAGTGTGGATCCTAAGTGAACAAGGGAGAGAGAGTAACAGGAGATGAGGT